GGGCATGCCGGGGACCGTCCAGCAGCCGGGCCCGGCTCCGGACGCAAGCGCCGCGGGATATCCACGTGTCGGAAATTTGCACAACCCGGATGCCTTCTTTCTAGCTTCTGGTTTTCCCTGCTCAGGGTCTAGGGCCCCGGGCGTGGGGCGGAGATAACATGCCATAAAGAGACCACACCTCCCAGGAAGTGGGGTGAGGAAGGCGCAGAGGCCGAGGTTGAGGATCCCTTGTTTCTGCGCTTTCCCTTCCCAGGAGCGCTTCCAATGAAAGTCTCGAGCTTTGAGGGCTGAGCCTGCGGGTGGGAGTCCAGGCAGTCCCATGTAGGGGAGCAGGCAGACCCCTCAGCCGTGGGAGCAGGTGAGAGGACACCCACCACTTCTGCATGTGGCCCTCAGAACTGCAGGCCCTTTTCAGGTTTTTCCCCCTTCCCCTACCTGGGCAGCCCTTGATGTGCTTTAGTTAAAATGTACTCAGGTGGCCGGAGTCTAGCTCTGTCGCCCAGGCTGGAGTGCAGTGGCACAATCTCAGCTCACTGCAACTTCCACCTCCTGGGTTCAAGCAATCCTCCTGCCTCAGCCTCCTGAGTAGCTAGGATTGCAGGTGCACACCACTGCACCCGGGTAATTCTTGTATTTTCAGTAGAGATGGGTTTCACCATGTTGACCAGGCTGGTCTTGAACTCCTGACCTCAGGTGATGCACCCGCCTTGGCCTCTCAAAGTGCTGGGATCACAGGCATGAGCACCGCACCTGGCCTTGTTTAATTTTGATCTGTGGACGGTGGAGTTTCACAGCCTCTGACCTTCACCCTCCCTCTTCTCACTCCACATTGTGACTCCAACCTCATCCTGTATACTCGCGACCCGGTGCCTTTTATGTGCAGTTCAGATATTCAACCTGGAACCTATCCTTCTGTGCCTCAAAGGATCTTAAAACCCAACACTGACCAGAACTCGCCGTTGACACTGTCCTCTGCCGCCCCTGCTAAACCTGGGATACCTTATGTGCTCCATGCTTGAGCAAATTACAGCCCCACATCTACTTAGGTGCCTGAGCCAAATCCCATGAGTCTCTTTGACCTTCACCTCTTTCACAACCAATCCACAATAAAGTCCCACTCACTTTACCCCTTTACTGTTTCTCAAACCTGACCATTTACCCTCATCTCCATCCCTGCACCATCCACCGCCACCTGTGGTCCAGCTCAGACCTCAGATTCCTTTTCAACACTGTAGGTGACTGATCTTTAGGATCCATTAAGCCTGATCTTGCCCTACTGCCAACTCTGCTTAAAACCCTGCAGCCCCTTGGCCAGGCGCAATGGCTCATGCCTGTAATCCCAGCACTTTGGGAGGCTGAGGTGGGCAGAGCACCTGAGGTCAGAGGTTCGAGACCAGCCTGGCTAACATGGTGAAACCCAGTCTCTACCAAAAATACAAAAATTAGCTGGGTGTGGTGGCGCATGCCTATAATCCCAGCTACTCGGGAGGCTGAGGCAAGAGAATCGCTTTAACTCGGGAGGTGGAGGTTGTAGTGAGCTGAGATAATGCCATTGCACTCCAGCCTGGGTGACAAGAGCAAAACTTGGTATTAAAAAAACACAAGGCCGGGCGCGTTGGCTCAAGCCTGTAATCCCAGCACTTTGGGAGGCCGAGACGGGCGGATCACGAGGTCAGGAGAT